CCCCTTCCGAATGTATCGTTTGACTTGTTGCATGGTTGCCAGCTTCACGCCTGGCTTAGATGTAACTGCCTTGTAGGATACACGCTTCTTGTTGGGTCCTCTTAAGACCACCCTTTGTTCATCACACGGAATTTTGGCTTTATATTTCCCTAGCCAGTCCATGCCCAACACCACGTCGATATTCTCCAAGTCAAACTGGATTAGATCTTCGGGTAATTCGGTATCGGATATGACTATGGAAATATTAGAGAAAACACTTCCACATGCTACAACTTTGTTGGATGCCGTTTTTACATTAAGATTCAGTCTAGTGGTAGGTTCTAACTTTAACTTTTCCACAAATTTCGAGGCTATACAACTGTGGGACGCACCCGAATCAAACAGTACGTGAGCAGGTGTGGAGTTTACAAGGAAGGTACATGACACCACGTCGTGGGCGTTTGCTTGAGCCTGGTTTATGACGTAAATCCGGCCATGGGTGTTGTTCTGCCCTCCATAGTCTTGCTTACGGTTGGCCTCCGCTGGACAGTTATCGGGATTACCACGATTGTTGCTACCGTGATTATCCCCACCCCCGGTTTGGTTGTTCCCCTGGTTTTGACCCTGGCTCGGGGGTTTCCGACACTCGTATTCCCTATGCCCCATGAGGTTACAGTTGTAACACTTCACCGCATTCCCCGCACAATCCTTCCCAGGATGGTTGTTTGGGCATAGTTTGCATTTGTAGTACCGTACCTGAGTTGGCTGGTTTCTCCCCTGGCCTTGGAAGGTTCTACCGCCTTGATTGTTTTGCCTTTGCTCAGGGCGGTCGGTTCAGGCTTTCTTTTGCTGTTGTTCCACATCAGCATTCTTCCGGTCTCTCTTCTGTGCCTCTCTTTCTTTTTGGTGTACCAGATAGTACTTACCAGCCTTCCTATATGCCTCGTTCAGGTTCTGCGGCTCTGCTACAGTCACGAACTTTTGGGCCCCGTAGTTAAGCCCGTTAACAAATCTGCGGGTCATGCTGGCTTCTGTTGACACCAGGTCTTTGGCAAAACGAGCCAGTTGGACGAACTTCGTATGATATTCCTGAACAGTCAGGTCACCTTGCTTGAAATTGACAAACTCATCATAATTTGCCTCTTTTACGTGATTCGGATAGAAGCGATCACACAACGCTACTATGAAGTCCTCCCAGTCAAAGCCCGGTTGCCCGAGAAGTGCTGGTCCGTTGGCGGCCCACCAGTGGTCCGCTTCTTGGTGCAGATAATACACCGCAATGTTCACTCGTTGCTCCATCGGGCAATTGAGTGAGTCAAAGAGCTTGTCGAAAGTGCGAATCCAGTCCTCCAAGATAAGATGGTCCTCCTCGCCCATGTATTTTGGAGGGTTCCGCCCAGCTACCCTTGTTGCGTAGTCAATCCCAGGGTTCTGGGGTTGAGCCGCTCCAATGAGTTGCGCCATTTGTTGGATAGTTTGGGCAAGCTCACCAATGGTTGGCGTCGCAGTAGGGTCTCTCCTTGGCGGTATGATTCTTAAGAAAGGAAACAAGTACTTAAGTACTAGGTATACATAAAGCTTCTACGTTTTACAAGTTCTTTACTAATTCTAGTACTTATCATAAATAAGCATTCAAAGATGTTAACATACTCCACATAACTCACATAGGCATGAAGTTCATGCTTTTCATAACTCAATACAATCGCCAAGGTTTCACTTCTCACCACGTTCCTAAAAGGTCTTGTTCCTAGTCTGTTCTTTCTCCTAGTTTTTATGAAAACGTTTTGAAAATCCCCACTTTGAAGGTATAATTTCCACGGTTTTCTTCAAAGATTTCGAACAACGAAGTTTCAGCACAAGGAGAAATTCCCAGTTGGTTGGACGAGCGCAAAGGCTCAATTAAGCACCGACCAGCTCAGACTCTTATCGTCTAATTGACAGAATTCCTCCCTATGACGTATTACCTCGTGTTCTAATCCTTTCGGAAAACCTAGCTCTCTGATACCAATTTGTAACACCCCCAAATTTCCCACCCGAAATACATTTAAAAGAGATAAAATTTCATTCATTTACTCGAATTGGGAAAAAGTTTACAGCGAAATTAACAATAAAAGGGAAATGGAGTGTTACCGCCACACGCGGCCACACACAGCCGAGTGCACAGGCAATCCCAAACGAAACAAACTAAAACAAGTGTTCAAAACATAAGTGAAGTATTTAATCTCGACTAAGTTTCAACTAAAGCATATCTAAACCGCTCTCAGGGATCAAACAATCATCAGTCAACATGGGCATCATCACCTGCACAAATAAAGTGCGGAAAACAAAACAAAGAAAAGGCACAAAAATTAGCTTTAGAGCTAAGTAAGTACTACCCAACCCCGTAAAATAATCAGGTTTGGTGAAAATAGTTTTTTTTTTCTTTCATACAATACTATATAAAAATGACACACACCACCAAAGTTCTTTTCTCTTTGATATTTCTCAAAATTCACTTCTTCTCTATCTTCCTAGTAATTTAGAAGGGCGGTGCTCAACCTTTCGATTGATCCCGGTGGACCGTGGTTATGGACGGCCACCCCGAACAAATGCCGGTACCACAACTGCTCTTGCGGAAATGAAACGACTACCTTTTAGGGGGTGTGCACACTTAAGGTAGTCATTTCGTTTCCACAAGAGCAGTTGTGGTACCGGCATTTGTTCGGGGTGGCCGTCCATAACCACGGTCCACCGGGATCAATCGAAAGGTTGAGCACCGCCCTTCTAAATTAATAGGAAGATAGAGAAGAAGTGAATTTTGAGAAATATCAAAGAGAAAAGAACTTTGGTGGTGTGTGTCATTTTTATATAGTATTGTATGAAAGAAAAAAAACTATTTTCACCAAACCTGATTATTTTACGGGGTTGGGTAGTACTTACTTAGCTGTAAAGCTAATTTTTGTGCCTTTTCTTTGTTTTGTTTTCCGCACTTTATTTGTGTAGGTGATGATGCCATGTTGACTGATGATTGTTTGATCCCTGAGAGCGGTTTAGATATGCTTTAGTTGAAACTTAGTCGAGATTAAATACTTCACTTATGTTTTGAACACTTGTTTTAGTTTGTTTCGTTTGGGATTGCCTGTGCACTCGGCTGTGTGTGGCCGGGTGTGTTGGTAACACTCCATTTCCCTTTTATTGTTAATTTCGCTACAAGCTTTTTCCCAATTCGAGTAAATGAAGAATGAAATTTTATCTCTTTTAAATGTATTTTCGGGTGGGAAATTTGGGGGTGTTACAGTGGGGGATACCAAAAAAATCCTATTTATACTCCTATTTTCTCTACATTTTCACACCATCTTCATACAATCCTACTCTCTAATTTTCTATTCTCTCATACTCAATCATCTCCATCTTCATCTTCTCCAAATCTCTCTACATATATATATATATATATAATTATTATATCTACTTATATATTAATTATACAATTATCTACTTATATACATATATTATATTACTAATATTTATTATCTACTTAATATATACTTATTATCTACTTATACCTCTCCATCTTTTTAATATTTACTTTGATATCTACTTATTATCTATATTTATTGTTATTTACTTATATATATTAAAGTATTATATATAAGTGTATTACTCATCTTATAGTAATATACTTATATATTATATACTATAAACATTATATTATATATTACTTATACAATTATCTACTTATATACATAAATTATATTACTAATTTTTATTATCTACTTAATATATACTTATTATCTACTTATACATCTCCATCTTTTTAATATTTACTTTGATATCTACTTATTATCTATATTTATTGTTATTTACTTATATATATTAAAGTATTATATATAAGTGTATTACTCATCTTATAGTAATATATTTATATATTATATACTATAAACATTATATTATATATTAGTTATGCAATTATATTAGTTACACTTGAATTCATAGTAATTAAATTCATCGTATTAGTTAATTTTTACATTTCTCATTATGCTAATTTAGTTAATTAATACTTGTCTCGTTTTTTCTATTAGTTAATTCATCATTTTTTCTATTCATAGTAATTAAATTCATCGTATTGTTATATTTTTCATTTCGCTATTAGTTAATTTGTTAATTGTTGCATTTATCATAAAAGTATAAAACTAGTTAATTGTTAAATTTTTCATTAAAGTATAAAACTAGTTAATTGTTACATTTTTCATTTCGCTATTAGTTAATTTGTTAATTGTTGCATTTATCATAAAAGTATAAAACTAGTTAATTGTTACATTTTTCATTAAAGTATAAAAGTAGTTAATTGTTACATTTTTTATTTCCCTATTAGTTAATTTGTTAATTGTTACATTTTCCATTAAAGTATAAAAGTAGTTAATTGTTACATTTTTCATTAAAGTATAAAAGTAGTTAATTGTTACATTTTTCATTAAAGTACAAAACTAGTCAATTAGAAAATGTATTTCATATTTAAGTTGTATTAATAAGTAAAAAAATTACATAGGCCCGACCCGGCGGGTGGCCTGGCCCGGGAACCGGGCGGGTGACCCGGCCCGAACCAGCACCGGGCGAAGGACGGGCCGGTTCCGGGGCCCCATTCCAAAACCGGAGGCCCGACCGGGCCTAGGCCCGGCCCCGACCCGGCCCGGGTCCAGGCCTAGGCCAGAGAGGTTGTGTTCAACTAAGTTATCATGATTTACAATGATCTGTTGGGCCCAAGACTTCATCGCTCTTGACTCTTGAGTTAGGGATTCAACGTTTGGAACAAGAAACAAAAGGGAAATCCTAATTGAATTTCTCTACCGACCCTCTTGGCCACCGGTTCCAGCTTGTATTGTGCTTAATGAATACGACAGGGTGGTCCCTTCACACCTTTCCTGTCAAGAAAGAAGTAAAGGGCTTTCAATTGTCCTCACATGTGAAGTTCACTCACTCATCGTCTCCCCACTCCCTTTCCATGGAGTACAAATTTGACCAAGTTATGGGCATCTCTGGAGAAATTTCGATCACAACCATATTTCTTTGGGTTATCTTTCTTTTATTACACAATATTTAAAAGTATCTTTCGACTATTGATTGAATAAGCAGAATCTTTGGCACAAATAATGATGTGAAGTTTCTCTACAGTAATGTGGTGATGCATAAAAGTTGCTCTATTATGCATAATTGGCTTGTGGTGCAATACATCTCATATAGAGAGGTTAGGCGACTGAAATGCAAGAAGAAACTATTTTTTTACTATAAGAGCAAAGAGGCATCCACACCCAATTTCTACGAGCAACCGAATAAGGAGGTGGTCATTGACCATTTTGCCCTGCTGCTAGCTTGCGGGTGTTGTATGAATTGCAATGTCTACACTTGTGGCCAATAACATGAAAGTTTGCTATACTGGTGTTATTGCAGTCGTTGCAAAGTATCCGAACCTGTGACATTAAAATTGATCAGCTAATGTTTGAATTTTACATGTATATGGTATACCAGTCAAAAGAACAAGAAAGTTGAAGCAAAAACATTTCTTTAAGTGAAGTCAAATGAAAAAGAATAAAGAAGGCGGCTTTTCCTTCGATTTTTCTCATTGTATTAATGCTTATACAGTCTGTGCTTTTGGTTTTACTTCAGTGACAGACGAATTAATCCTACATGTATAATTTTATGCCATCAATATTCGAGTCTGAGAATATATGCAGGAAATAACATAGCCAATTTTGCACTCCATCAGATATACACCAATAATATAAATTAAAATGAGTTTGAACAAGTATCTAAATCAAATAAATTGAGTTTGGGCTTGATTATCTTTTTTTTCACAAACTTTCTTTTCTTCCATTTTACTCCATTTTCCACGTTCCAAACGGGTTCTACACTTTGAGGAAACTCAGACGAAAACAGTAACCATATGGTGATATGGAAACACAAAGACTTACTTCATATCGATATTCCTCAGGCATGACTGTGGCTTCAATCTGTGCATAAGAAAACCTCAGTCAACATATGGACCCAGCAAATTGTATTTATATCATCCGTTTGTACATACATTCATGAATTCCCCTTTTGTGAAAGATGGACAATCAAAGAGTTCCGATAATAGAACAATTACAGTAATTGATCACTAAAGTTATGTCAAATGCAATGAACATTCTTCTAAGATATGCAACAAGTTATCAAGTATCCCACATCATTGTATATTTGGGGTTGAATCTAATACTCCCTCCGTCCCAATTTGTTTTGCAAAATTTCCTATTTTGGCCGTCCCAAAATATTTTTCCACTTTCTATTTTAAGTAAAAATATAGACAAACTCACAATTTTACCCTTACTCTTATCATAGTCATTTTTTATCCCACTCACCCAACCGTATCTTATCAACTTCTCCACACCCTCTTTCCTCTTTCAATCTGCTCAGCGAACAAGAGTGTAGCCAAAAATCCTACTCCCCTCATCACCAAAATCATAGCTTCATAAATCAGGGAAAAATTGGGTTTCTGGGTCACGTTATTTGCCTCACAAATGCTTCACACGAACAACATCGCCGGAAGAAACTAGCTGCAGACACCCTCTTGATATTAACCATGAGCTTAGCAATGGTGACAACAACAGGATGTCGGTGGCCCACACGATTCTTAACATATGCTTCTATCCGGCAGAGGAAATAATCCTCACTCCAATCAGTGCTCCGGCATCAATCGTTTCATCGCATTCTCTGCCGTCCCTTTGTCGTCTGTGAAATACTACCTACATGGCTATCTAAGAACCATGAAATACTGATATATACGAAGTAGTCTCTTCTGATATTTACTTTTCCACTTTTCAGTTTTGTACTCTAGTTTATTAGGAGAAGGGCAAAATGGTAAAGTGATTGTAAATTTATGTGTTTTCTTAATCCGTGTACGGGTCAAACATTGCATTTCAATTCGGGACGAAGGGAGTATATGTGAGATAATCATCAATTTTTGATGATCATTTTGGGGCGAGATAAACCTAAAACATGGTATTATAATCAAGCCCAATGGTGGTTTTTAGAGTGTCCGCCACTCCATTATTCGGGGGCTGGTCTGGATCCAATTGTCCACCCTTCAGTTGTCTAAACCTACTTGGACTGAGAGAGATGCTTGTACATTGGTTGGTTGCCTACTGTGCTCCAGTCCAGTATACCAGTGTGAGTTAATCCCTGCCTTCTTGGAGATTCTTTTGGGATAAGATAAGCCCAATTTAACAAAGTAATAATTTCAAAGGACATAAAACAAGCACAAGGACTGTATGAAAAGGGGAATGAGGGATAACATCGTACCTCCTGATCTAATGTTTCCCATGTACGGGACATGTTGAGCACTGACTTGCTGCAGATTGGACACCGATACCTGTTTTAAATATTAAGGCATCAAACTGTCACTGAATACTACGTATTAAACACTAATATAGAGTTGAATTATATTCTGAGGCATGTAAATTTACTGGTTCTTGGCTACCATCTCACTGTAGCAATCCATATGCATTGTATGTCCACATGTCATAATTCTTGTGCTTTTCACTGAGTCAAACAGAAACTGGCAACACAGCACAGCTTTTGTTTTAGGGAATAAAAAGATGGGAAGATCCACCTTGTAATAAAAGATATAGTTCTATGCACCTCATAGCAAATTGGGCAGTGATTCTTCATAGAGTTCTCGACACACACATGATTATCTCGCAGATTGACCGCATAGCAAGAGCCTGTTTTCTTAAATAAAAGTTAGAAGGCTTGTGGGTGGTTAGAAAATTGTGAATCAAAGATTTAGGGCAAAACATATGGATAGATTAATGGTTGAGGGAATTTAAATAAATTACCACCAAATCCCCAAGCTTAGTGATTAGTTGGAAAATGAAACTTATGAAATGAAAACACAATCTACTAATTTTAACGAACACTTACACATATTTCTTTTTAAAAGATTGAGATGTTTTCTGGATACATGTAGCATTCGAGGTTTAGAAAATAACACAGTATAAATATCTAAACGTATGTAAACAACTAGGATGTCTTTTCCGCAAAGCTAGAAACCTGACTAAAAGTGTAAACCTTGACAATTGAATGACTTGACAATTTTTTAGTGTCACTGCATATCTGACTAAAAATGAAAGCATTGACAATTTATTTCAATTTACTAAAGAACTATTTTAATCAACACTAACTGAGAATTTGATATTAAACTGGGCAGGATAAAGTTATCAATCATTAAAAGATTGTTTAAAGTAATTAGAATATACTATAGATATTGATGAAGATTTTTCTACACAAGAATGTTTGACTAATGCAAGTTGGTTAAATGGTGAAGAGTGTTGTAATGTGCCACAAGTATGAAAGGGATTATTGATTTTATATGGATTAAAATGCCAGACAATTGAAAAAAAATCCCTCCAAAGTTTCGCCACTTTATAAATGATGATCATTACTCCCTATTTTTTCTTCTCTTTGAATTTCATTTTTATTTCATTGTTCTTCAGTTGGGTTTCTTATGATAGATGTGTGACAACATTCAAAAAGATATAAATCATATAATTCTTCACGAAGAGAAGGTCTGCACAAAAGTAGTAGATAACAGAGACCCGATTACATTGTTTTGGGCATCTTTGTCGTAAGTCATAAATTGTAAGGCAAGTTCTAGTGTATAGCTCTATGGCACAGATGGAGGTTATAGAAAAAGTAATTAAAATATTGGGACATTGACAGCAATCAGGGCATGACAAGAAAAATGTAAAAGGATATATTTGTAGATGAACTAGTGATATCATTTCTAAGCTTATTGACATATCGTTGCATCACTGCTAACTGAAAAAGTATCATCAAGTGTTGGGAAGAATCTTATTTCAACTAATTGACATATTTCAAATCTATATACCATCGTAGATTCACAATTGGAAAAGCATGAGATTCATGTGTCCAAATCTTAATTATTGGGATTAATACACATAATCATGTAGGTCATCCTTTGAGAACTCTGCCAAATAACTCAATGAATGCATATACAGTATACCATCATTAATATTTGGTATGATATTCATTGTTACTAAACCCAGAATGTAAAAGAATTACACAATATATATAGCATAGTAGCATACCACACTTTTGGCAGTGAAAAAAATTTTCAGAGCCTCCCACCCTGCATAATCAACATTGGTACCACAATAGTAATAAAAAGAAATGTGATTAAATGTTCCTTAGTTGCAATTGGAAATTCTCCTTTCCTTATACAAGGGCACCTGATTGGCCAGGGTAGATAATGTAACACACTCACCTACAGATCCCACATTCATTACAATGAAACTGATTCTTCGTTGTCTGACATGCAAAAAAAATATAGTTTTAGAGATATCAATAAGATTTACGGGCAAAAGTACCAACAAACTAGATGTCTAGACATGAAGTGTTGTTTAAGTAAGTGCTAATAGCACTTCTATAAAAAGGTCCAATCTGGCCAAGCACTGCTTTTCATGGCTAAGCGCAATTTTTTAAGGAACACAAGTTTCTTTCACTTTATTTCCAAAAACTTCTTTTTGAAGTGAAAGTACTCTTCCTATATAGAGAACTTATTCACTTTAAAAAAAAGTCATCTCAAACTTATTCACTTAAAAGAAGTCATCCCAATCACTTAACTGGTGCAAAAATGGTAACTAAAATAAGTCCCTGCCATCCTTCATTTTTAGGCATATGGACTGACAAAGTTGATGAGTAGGACAAATTAGGTCTCATTAATGATCAAACAATTCAGTTTTCACTTTTCAGTTTAACGCAAAGGGCCAAGGCTCTCTGGCACCAACCTACCAACTAAGTAGAAAGTAGAAACTCAATGCAAACACACAAAGGAAAATGCTACTCAAACCATTAACATGGACACCTTAGCATAACCGTCTGTATGAACTGACAAAATTACTCCTCACTTGACCTTGACTAACTACTACAAGGTAAATTTGTAATCCCATAAAGGTGGTCATGTTAAGATCCCAATGAAGGTGGCGAAAGTAGCACTTTCCACACACAGATGCAGCATCAGATACATGGTCTGGTAAAGAGAAAGAGAGATAGAACAAATAACTTTACATCATCATCATAAAATATACAAATTCTGCAGAAATACTGTCCAAATTTGACCCCACACTTCATGCAGGCTCCAGCAACCTATTTGAGAGAATCAATGAGATTAAACAAATATAAGTATTCAATCAGTATGAGAAAATTGAAAACTACAATAATTGAAGTTTTTAACCTGTTGCTCAGTATCACACACAGCACAAACCACCTGTAACATAGGTATGAAGTTGGATTCAATCCGTAGCATTGCCACTATACAAAATAAATAAGCTCACAAAGGTAATTACTTTACTCCGGGCCTACCTGCTTGACATCATGGCGAACTAGTTCGTGGTTTTCCTTGGGATTGGTCAACCGGCTCTGATCGAAATAGACAGAAGAAACTTAGATAAAACATAGAGCCTGCCTGGTAATGCTTAATTTGCTGAATCAGCTTAATCTAGTGAAATTTGTGAGATTATGATCAGTGGCTAAAAATCAAAAGTAATCCAGAGCTTATACAGATTAATTTAGTGTTTAGTAAAGAGTTACTTGATAAGGCAAAAAGATGACAAAGGGCTCTAGAATTTTCAGATGAAATCTCTAAATGAATCAAAAAATATGAAATCAATTTTCGCAGAACGCCGGAAGTTAGTAGGAAGGGGAACCTTAGCTTCGTTGTGACAATGGCGGCAGGTAAAAACCTCGTTGCAGCAAGGGGCGCGGAGTTTGCACCGTCTCCTATAGTGATCACATCTACAAGAATATAGAAAAATCATGTAAAGTCTCGCATTGTTTTTCCAGCAAAAAAACTCAATAAAAATCACGACAGAAAAAACCGAGAGAAGCACCCGTAAAGCATCTTTCCGGAGTCTTCTTTGGAAACGGTCTGAGCACCATGAGTTCCGTTACCAACGGTTTCTTCCATATAGACGGCCGAGGTCGAGAAGCTTTTTCCGTCTATTTTCGACTAACTAGGATTATAAGTTCAGGGACATGAGGCGGGCAGACTTGGCGAATTGGGGTGGCAATTCGATGAATGAAGTATAAAATGGTGAAGTTACTAATGCCTTCATAAATAATGTTTGAACTTTTCTGATTGGATCTGATCTGGTCTGATCTGATCAGAATCTTTCCAATCTGATCTGAATCTTTCTGATCTAATCTGAATCTTTCTAATCTGATATGAATTTTTCGGATCTGATCTGAATAAAATAAGAATAAGCAATATGTAATAAGAATAAGACGAAGAGAACAGCTTCTTACTCGGTAGTAATTTGATTTTATATACTCCCTCCTTCTCTATCAAATGTCTCTATAGGCTTTGGCACAAGTTTTAAAAAGAAAATAATAGGGATAATGTAAAAGGTGTAGTGGGTTGTGTTTAAATGAAAAGGTAGGAAAAAGAATGAAAATGTAAGAAAGATAATGAGGGTATATAGGTATATTTATAGGAAAGATAATCAGCGTTTTGTGGTCTGGCTGCGCTAGACGAGCCATTGGTAGTCTCCTTAGCAACTTGGGGGTGGCCCTCAGCAGACTAAGTCTGATCATCATGGGGTCGGCTTGCCACTGGTCTCTGTGGACTCTCAGGACTCTCACCTTCTCTCGACTGACTACCTTGGGCAGGCTCAGGAGGGTTTATCTGAGCCGTGGGGAGTGTGATGTTGTGCTTCTGGCAGTAACGTCGGACAGATGGATCATTCTGATCGGCTAGTTGCAACAGAGGCACTGGTATGGTGAGTGGTACTAGTGTAGGATCTCAGTCACCTTCTGAAGGTACTTGAGGTATGGGATGCTGACGTTCTCTGTTGATAGTCTAAGGTGGATGGATGAAGTTGTTCTGGAGAAGCGTCGCACCAACAGTGGAAACCATCTCATATATGGTAGATGTTTGATTTGATTGGTCCTTTTCCTCTTTCTGATCATCTCAATAATGTTGTCCCAGATCAGCGAGACGTGGTCGTAATTATTCATGAATGCCACGCTGTGGAAGACAGTCAAAAGGTAGATGCTGCACTTGTCGAAGTCGGTGTGTTTGGTAGTGCAGCACTTGTTTAATGTAGCCATCAGAGTCCTACATGGTTGTGGTAGTCTTCCGGGCTTGACCTGGGAGATGAGCCTGATCAGTTATGCATGGCCCAGTGTAATCATGTCTTCCATGAGGTCTTCCTCAGTGGCCAGCTCATCATATTCATCATGCTCTGGGATTTGCAGCACTTAGTGCATCAGCTCTTTGGTAATCGTAGCCTTAGTGTCCTTGATAGTGGAGGTCAGCACGTCATTTATCTCATTGTCATCCTCATCAGTGTCCTTGTCAAGTGTTACCCAAAATTATTGGAGATACACCTGAGGGACTTTAGCAGATTCGCTCATGACTTTCCATAGTGTGTGGCCCTTCAGAGTGGTCACGATCACGTCAGGTAGGACAAGACCTTCGGGTCCGACTTTGAGTTGTTCTCCTTGATGGGGTATCAGTCCTGGATCCCGTAGATGGTCTTGATTGCTGCTAATTCTGCCATGACATGCTTAGGTTGTCTTGCATTGATCCCTGATTGGTGCCAGGAGCAGAAAATTGTAACTCCCCCTAAGAATGTGCAAGGTGTTGTTTGTTCTTGGCATGTGTCGGTGTTGAGGTGTGCATTTATAATTTTCAGCTCGTTGGGTTAGTATATACGCCTATACTCCCTTTCATAATGTGCACCATGGTTGATTGCTCACAACTCATCTTCATACCCGCCATGTGTGTGGAGCAATCAGATCAGTTACCACACATGACGGACCTGCAAAAGGTTAAGAAACCCTTGGTACCCATTTCAGGGTGGGTCCATCTCTTTTAGCACAAAACAAATTTTGAAATTTTTGTTTAATTTTAGTTCCTAAACCAGTCTCCTTTGAAGCTTTGATAGAGCTACATGACTAGGAATCTGATTCAGGAACCCATTTTTGAGTTATTGCAGATGCATAAGAATTTTCTGCGCGAGTGAATGATGGAATAGATTTTTGAGAAGTAAATATTTTCTCCCTTGATAACCGTTTCAAGTGTTTGGCTGAATAAACTTTGAGGGGATAAGTCAGGCAAACACCGTCACAAACGGTATAGGTTGAAGCTTTAAAATTCTTCCATTTAGACTTGCCATCATTCACTTCATAATGAGGTTTGACAACCTTAGCCTTTTGCTAACCTCAACACTTGAATGAGAAAACACAGATCTAGAGTCATTAGAAGAAGACTGAGAAGAATGGTGTGTGGCAGAGCTAAACGACTGAGAGCTTGAACTTGAACTGTCTTTAAATGTACTCTTTGAAATATGAGAGGAGGTAGTGGTTGCGTCTGATCTGGGGGAAATTTTGAGAAGAGAAATCTCATTTAAAAGTTGTTCTTTTTCAGTTTTGAAAACCTCTCTTTCAGTTTCCAAAGATCTGTGCAAGTCCGCAATTTTACGGATGACCTTTGGAATGTAAACATTGTCAGTTTCGGATTTTTCAGAAACATGTTTTTCTTCCCCTGCAGACACAGACTCACACTCAATTGCTGGAGAAAAAAGTGATACATAGTCATCAGACAAAGGAATTTCCCTAGTCTTATAGCTATCATTCAGTTTAGTGTAGTCAAACGAGATTTCAACTTTATGATTATTTTCTCTCTTTTCTTTTTCTTCGGCATCAGTTTCTGACGCTCATACGAAGGACATAGGTTTCGTCAAACCCAAGCCCATATATCCAATGTCATACAGTTGCCGACAGTTGACTTTCTTCAAGTTGCATGAGTTTTGGAAACCTAAGCCTTCCTTGGGATTGTAGAAAGTGGTGTCTTTAGGCTGATTTAAGAAAATTGTTTGATCTGTTTGACCTCTCTTAGCAAGTAAGTCCTCAAAATTTTTGATCTTAGAATATAATTTGCATCGTTCCGTTTGAATAAAATCAAAATTGTTTTTCGCTATGATGCGTTCCAAGGTTAGCTTCTTGACCTTTTCTTTAGAATTTTCCAGTTGTACGGTGAGTGAGGCAGTCTTATCCAGCTGCTCCAGTAAGACTCTGTGATTGTCTGCTAATCTCTCTTCCAATTCCTTGATTATTTGTTGACCGTCACATTTGCTTATCTCAGACTTATCAGAAATTCCAGTGCATTGGTTCTTACATAATGATGAGTTAGAGGTATCCATTGTTGATTGTTGAATGTTGACCGTAGATGTGAGGTTGATTGAAGTTTCTGCAAATTCCGGACCTTGAAGTGTAGCTTGGAGTTTGAGAACATAAAGTCTTAACCTTGATTTTTTTTTTGAATTTTTGATTTTTTTAATCTCAAGGCTGACTCTTGGAAGCTTTGGTTGTAGTGTTGATCTTTGGTGTTGGAGTTTTGGACTTTGAAGTTTGAAGTGGCTCAAAAGCTAACTCTTAAAAAAGATGGGAAAAGTATGCTTTTCAAGTAGAGGAAAGTGAACTTGTTTAACTTTCCCACACCTAAACTCTTTGGGAACTTTTGAGCCTTTAAATATGAGTCACTCCTCTCTTAGTAGTAAAAGGTGAAGAAGAAATGGGGAGCTCTCGCGCACACACGAATTCCGGCTTTCAGTTCAAAATAAAAAATTTGCACCCCCCTGCGCGGGCGACCTGCGGGCACGACAGCCGTAAAATTCAGCGGATCTCAAAAGACAATTTTGCCCCTCATTCTCTTCTTTTTCGAACTCAATCTGCTTTCTCGATACTTTCTTTCCTTTCTCGATGAACATGTGGTTTTCGATGTCCTTTCGAGAAGCTCTTTTTGATGTTCCTTCGAGAACCCGACGGTTCGAGAAATTCTTTTCGATACTGAACCTCGAGAAATCTTTTTCGATGTTGATCTGCGAGAAACCTGAAGCGATTCACACCTAAACTTCGAGAAAGCTTTTTCGAGCCTCGCCTTCGAGAAACGATTCCGCACCTGCAATTCGAGACACACTCTTCAATGTTCACCTTCGAACTCTCAAAACATCGAAAAACCTGTCTTCGTACATTTCAATAGCGCAGTTAAATAGCGCAATACATTTCAGAAAATCATTTGACTGTCTTCCCGGTTGAATTTTTATCTAAAATTTGTTATGGGTAAACTAGACTCAATGAAGAAGATGCTTAAAAAATTTCATCAAAAAATTCCGGGAACCGCCCCAATTGGCAACGGGCGGACAAAATCTCTTATATAAGGGGCGAATTGCACTTTTTAAGTTAGTTCGATGCATATTTGACCATTTAGTATAATATATTAGGTTCTCGTACTTTTAAAAAGATCAATCAAATTCTCGAACCTTGTAAAAACGTTCAATTAAGTACATTTGCAGGTTACTTGCCATGTCAGCAGGCCACCCGCTGACGTGGTGCACATGTGGCAGCCCAATCATCAATAATTTTGCTGACGGGGCACACATGTGGAAGTCAAGTCAATCATTTGTTGATGATGTGGCACACACATGGATCACCATGTGTACTCAATTGAACGTTTTTACAAAATTCGGGGACTTGATTGATTACTTTTTCATAAAAGTAATCAAATTAAGGGTTGATTTGCAAATACTTTTAAAAAAGCATTTTTCAACTTTTGGCTTTAAAAAAACACTTATTTTCCCAAATACTACAACTTTTATTTTTCTCGGCTTCCGCGTCAAAAGTGCTTTTACTTTTTCTATTACACAAAAAACACTTATTTTACCAAACATCACCCACTTTTACTTTTCAAAATCCTTTTTTCCTCAAACACTATAAACTTTTATTTAATCACTTCTCCATATTTCATTAAAAAAACACTTTTTAAAAAATAGAAGGTGTTGCAAAAAGTTTTTCCCTTACTAGATACTCCCTCCGTCCCGCTATGATTGTCCCATTTTACCATTTCGGTCCGTCCCACTAAGATTGTCTCATACCTTATTTGGTAAAGTTTGTGTGGTTCTAAATCATTCCTACTTTATTCTTACTTTATCAATTCAATATCAACCACATAAACCCACTTTTATTAATAACCGTGCTACCTTCTCTTGTCCCAAACTTAGGGGGACGGAGGTAG